ACAGTAAGTGAGGTATATACTCCATGATCCAATCACCTTCCAAAAGTCCAGTCTATGAGTGTATGAGGCCTCTGGGGAGATGTTCTTATCTAAACCATGCTTAAAACATCACATAGTTTTTTTCGGAAAGAGAAAAGGTATGTCAAAATCAAACAAGTTTCTCAGTTTCTTAAAGGATGGTAACCTTTGCAGTGAAATAAGGTATATATTACAAATAGTCTAATTTTGTTTAACTCCAAACTAATAAATTCTGGTTTTTGCTTAAACCTGTCTTTAACTCTTTAATACAAAAGAGAAGAAAAAAAGCCAGGTGCAGTGGCACACATCTGTAATTCCAGCTACTCTGGAGACTGAGGCAGGAAGATCACAAGTTTAAGACAAGCCTGGGCAACTAAGACCCTGTCTCAAAATAAAAAGTAAAAAGTGCTGGAAATATTCCTCAGGAGTAGAGTGCCCATGGGTACAATTCCTAGTACTGCAAAAAAACACTAGAAACTTAATGCAACACAGTACTTAGAAAAAAGAAATTAGCCTAGCATTTATGGTGGATCATGTACCACCTATCATATCTAACACACACACACACACACACACACACACACACACACACACAAAACCACATACAATTTGTATAAAAGAAATTTCAGTAACATATTTTGCAAAGCCAGAGTTGGGGTTATTCAAGTTACTATATAAAAAAATGAAGATGAAAAACAAGCTCAACAACCTCTGGTGTTCTGGACAGAACAGCTTAAAACATGAGATATTACAGGTAGAACATTATTTTTCCATTTTATACTACCATCATCTGATTCAATGTGAATCAATGTGAACCATTCTATGAATGGTTTTCATTAAGCAAAAGACTAATGTGAAAGACTTAGTTTTGTTGATATAAGACAAATTCTATTTAATGAATGTTCTACCTAAAAGCAAAAGAAAAGCACATGTTCTTAACTATTAGCCTTATTTAATGAAGATACACAATTGTATACACACATATATATATAATATTTAATCAAGTGAGACGTTTTCTAAAATGCAGTATTGGTCATATATTAGAGTTTTATAATTTTATGTCTGTAAGAAAGAAAGCTGGCAGTGTGTTGCCAAAAATTACAAAAGTATGGGACTCCCTTAGTGGGGATCATGCAGCTAAGTTTATGGCAGGCAAAGCCTGTGTTTCATTCATCTTCGTACCTGCAACACAGTCTTCAGCTCAGCACATATTTATTTTGCTGAAATAATCTTCATTCACTCATCCACCAAGCATCTATTTGGTACCTACTATCTGCTAGACCTTGTATTAGGTGATAAAGTATTTATTAGTGAACAAAATAGGCTACAAGACTCTACCTTGGTGGGCTTAAGAATCTAGTGAGGAAGGACAAATAAGATCATTAAAACTTGTGCTACAATAGAAATGAACAGGGTATAATGATAAAGAGACCTATTTAGAATGGTCAGCAAAAGTCTCTCCAATCCTTAAAAAGCAGTATTTCGCTGCACAACTCACAAAAGCTAAATTGTGGAAACAGACTGTATATATATACATATATAGATGTATATATATCCATCAACAAATGAATAAAGAAAATGTGATATTTATATACAATGAAGAACTACTGTGCCATAAAGAAAGGTAAATTTGAGTCATTTGTAGGAAAATGGATGCACTTTGATACAATAATGTTAAGTGAAATAAATCAGACACATAAGCTTAAATATCACATGGTTTCTCCGACATAAGAAACCCAAAGTATGAATAAAGAAGCAAAATAAAAGACAGACAATGGGAAACAAGGAGATACAGTTTTTCCAAAGGGAAGGGGACAAAGACATGGAGGGGGGAAGGGGATAAAAAAAGAATTAAAATGTGTTATGTACATGTACCAACTTCCTATGATGAATGTAATCACATACTGCAAACACGTACTAATAATAATAAGATTTAAAGTGATATTTAAACCTAAACTTCAATAAGATGCTCTTTCCACAGCATAAAGCTTGATAAGTTATTTTCTAAACATTGCAGCAGAGCAGCCTTGCTCCCATTTGGCAATCCACAATGTAATTTCTACATTTTGAAATTTGCAATTTTCTAAACAGTCCATGTCATTTTTCACCCCTCCCCATTTTGAACATCATTAGCTTCCCAACATCCTTTTTATATGGCTGGATGTATGTGACTATTCCAAACTTGACATTTTCACAAACACATAACTTTTTATTAAGAATATCTTGTACATATTTCAAATTGTTATAAGAAAATTAAACAGAGAAAACAAATATTTGTAGAGGACCAGCAGCCAGGCATGTTGGCGCACACCTGTAATCCCACTACTCCAGCAGGATGAAGCAGAAGGATCACAAGTTTGAGGGCAGCCTGGAAAAAAAAGCCACTGACTTATTTAAATAGTCTCTCAAGGGCTACTACTATAAAATTACCAGATATATCAGACATATCTTTACACTCAAACTTTGTATTGGCAGAGGCAGTAGAAGATACAGAAATGTGTCAGTCAGGCATGGTAGTACATGCCTGTAATCTCAGCTACTTGAGAGGCTGAGGCAGAAGGACTGAAAGTTTGAGGCCAGCCTGGGCATTTAATGTGACTCTGTTTTAAAAGTTAAAAGGGATAGGGATATAGCCACTGGGTTCAATCCTCAGTACAAAAAAGAAATGAATGCAAGGAGGAAAGAGAGAGAGACAGAGAGAGAGGAGGAAAAAGATTGTAGGTTTGTGGATAGCAACATAAATATTAGAGGTAAAAAGGGAAGAGATCAGAAACAGAAAGCATTATGTTAGTGAACTCACTGATTGCAGCTCTCAGTCTAGTTCTCATTCAGGTCCAGAAAGCTCAAATCAGACTCAAAAAAGTAGTTATAAGCCAGGATTGTATTTTAATAATTTTCCTTATGAAATATATAATCATACTGATCAGATTTTTTTAAGACTACTAATCATAATCCCACTTGTAGCAATTTGCTTATCCACAATAGACAACATAGCCTTCAAAATGAAAACAATCCTTATATGTTTTCTTACCTATATATCAAAATTTATTATCAGGAAGCTAAGTGAATAAGAATAAATGCTTGATGAATATGGATAAGATAAAGGGACTAAAATCTTTCAGGAGAGACCATGGTCAGGAATGATCAAATATTCCTGCCACTCAGCAAAGATTACCTTTCTAGTTACCAGAATTATCATGAGCCTCAGATGATGTTCCTTTATCCTTTGTACAGCAGTGCATAAGCATTACCAAATTCTGCTTTTTAGACTCTTTTTCAATGTCCAATGCTGACCATCCATTCCATTTCTGCAGACACAGCCTTTCTTTAGCTATGCTAATGTCATCTATTGAATTCAATTTAAAAAATTTCAAAGTGGGTACTACCTGCTGGGTAATCTACTAGGTACTGAATATGCAAGGTTGGAGAAGATGGGGGCCTCATCTTCAGCAATTCACCTTCAAATGAGAAAGATCTCTTTTCTGTTTTTCACATGGAAGACAGCCAGTCTTTTAAAATACCTTCTGCATGTATCTAATTTTATCCATTCTGTGAGGATGGTATTTAATTTTCAGAGTTCTAGGAATAATTTACCATTATTACTCTTACATATCAACTAAAAGGGGAATTTTGTATAGCAGAAACAACTGAAGTACTGTGAAGTGAAACAGCTTGCCTCAAATCACTAAGCTTATAAGTAGTGAAGCCAAGATTCAAATTCTAGGTCTTTCTGACTCCAAAGATCACACAATCTTTCCTCTATTTCACCCAGTCACTAAGAAATGAAAATCTCTGATAGAAGTATGTTAAAATGCCTAAGACAGCTCCTGGCATATCCTCCAACTCAATTACTATGTCTGCCAAACTAAAATTCAACAGTACCAAATTATAAATTTGCAGTTTTTAGATCTCCTATTAACTGCTAGGACCCTGAAATTAGTAAACCAAGAATAATCTTCACTATGATAGGTCAGTGCTCAATTCACTGGTATACTCTTACAGAATCAAAACTCAGATCATCTCTCTACTTGAAAACTCTAATCTCAGGAAAAATAAGGCCCTTCTCATACCTAACATTTAAATTTTACTTCATATTTTGAAGACTTGGTAAAGCATAGTAACAGTGAACTAAAAAGTAAAGATTAAGCAAATAAAGATAATGTAAAATGTGCACCACTAGATAGCGTTCCAAATTATCTAAAGCTTTAAATTACATATTTGGCTGATAATATATTTTTCTTTAATTTATGCTGAATTGTTTAAAAGAAAAGCTTTTTAACCCCCTTATCTATCTGTTTATGTTTCTCACGAGCTATATAATAGTTCATTATGATCAATGGCAAAGATTCACTTAGCACTGAAATTACCCAAACACAAATCCTGGCATACTCATAAGAAAAATATGATGGATTGAGAAAAGGAGAAAAGGAAATGAAAGAGAAAGACTATTAGGTGGTAGTACAGCAAGAATATAAATACCAGAAACTGCAATTCATCAAGCAGGAAGTCCTGAAATCATATGACAGGCAGGAAAGTGAAATTTAAAAATAAATGAAAAAGGAGCAAGATAGGCCCAACGAAGCTCAGGGAGTTAAAAGGTTATTTAGACACAGTATATGTCTGTTAAAAAATCATAAAAATAAGATATATTTAAATAATCTACTGACAACTGAGGAACTATTCTCACTTTGTAGTTATGTTATCCTAATATTCATTTAACAATCACATTAACACCTGTCAAAATACTAAAGAAGGGCCGGGGATTTAGCTTAGTGGTTCCACTACCTGCCTCTCAACCTAAGCACCCGAGTTCGATCCCTGGTACCAAAACAAAAAACAAAAAAAACAAAAATACTAAAGAAAATTTTCTCCTAAAATTTAGAAATATTTACAATGACCATAATTTCCCCCAAAGACAACAGAAAAACTCAGTGTATATTCATAATTTAAGATATACCATCTAATAGTTAAATTGATCTTACCCATTAATGTTGCTAAAAGACACAAGGAATACATCTCTTTGTCAGCTTGCTCCTGAAGCTCCTTCGATGACAGCTTACCAGTAACAGCAATCTCTTCTTGTTTCACAGTGTGAGCTGAGTGTGCTATACCTGACTGACCACCTTCTGCTTTGCTTTTTAGAATCTCTATTGTAATTCTGTCACCATGCTGTAAAGGAACAGGCTCCTTTTCCATTCCTGCCTGTGGTGGCAGTAACTCTTTAGGAGGAAAGCCATATCGAATACACTGTAAATATGGAGGAATGTTGAATTCTCTGGCTATACTTTCCTGAAGTTCAAAAAAGGTTGTTGAAGACTTGAGTGTAACCATGGACTGTCGACCATCATTAGTTGTTATTCGGATCTTCTTCTCCTTAGAAGTTGTAGGTGAATAGGGAGCCTTGGTAGGGGTAGCAGGTGCAGAGGATGGACCATCACGAATGGTAGTGGGAGAAACAGTTCTGGGCTGTCCTTTTTGTTCTTGTTTTAACTTCTCTGTTTTCCGTTTCTGCATTGCAGAAGCCTGTTCTGTAATATTCTGTTGAATAGTTCTTTCAGTTTTACTCATATTTAACTCTTCCTTGTGCAAAGTTTTTGTTTTCTGTCCAGTAAGAATAATTTTAGTTGGGAGCTGAGACTCTGATTCTTGTCCTTGTACATCTCCAACTCTTTGGGCATGAGCACCATCTATATTTACAGGAGTATAATCATCAGGATTCTTTTTGGCAGTCTGATGCAATATAGTGTGAACAACTTTCTGAACTAGAATTTCACTCCCAAATTCACCTGGAAAGTGCTTGGTAACAAGTTTCATTGCAACATCATACACATTACTATTCAAAGATGGATCACTTTCATACTGGAACCAATACACTGTTTCTCTGACCACTCTTCCTCCCCATTCCAAAGTGATAGGGAAAGCTTCTGGTAGATTGTCATACTCTTTACCATCCCAAAAGTGTTTGAATCCACAACCACACTTGCCACCAGTAGACCTAGAATTAGTTCTGTCTCCATCCAAATATACAATAGATCCATCTCCTCTGACCCTTCGCACAGATGTGCCATGGCACCAATTACAAGCTGTTAGATTACTCAATCCATAGTCTGGTACCAGAACATCTTTCACTGAATCATATGAGCAAACCAAATTGTTCAAGGGAAAGCTATAATTTTTGTCAGGCCTCAGCTGTCCATGAGTACTTTTTGCCAGGTTATATAGTTTCCCTCCTGGAGCCAACCACTCTGGAGGAACATGAAGTTCAGAAAGGGCGCCACAGAGCAAACACCTGTGAAGGCGATTATCCATTACTGCCTTTTTAGCAGCTGCTGTAACTTCTTCGGGCTGGACTCCTATCACTCCAGTCCTTCTGTAGAAATACTGATGGACATCAGCAACCAAACTAGGATGTATACCGTGTTTGTCCATAAAGACTTCTTCCATAGCAGCAACAAGCCTAAGTAAGTATTTATCTTGCAAACTTCTGTCTCCTCCTATAACACAACCACCATCTTCCTCAAGTTTAATGTACTTTTTAATAAGGTCCTGTGGCACACCCCATGCTTTAGGAAGTAAATTCATAGGTAGTTTGGGCAAAGCCGCCCCTTTTATGCCTACCAAAGGGATGTAATGGTTTCTACCAGAGCTACTCCATGCAATACAGATTGGTTTGTTCAAATGACCATCTTTCCCAGTGCACTTCTCTGCAGGTATGAGCCCAGGCAGAAAGGTGGCTGAATAATCACCAGAGCTTCTCATGCCACTGAGGGAATCTAACAGAATTATAGGACGATGTAACACATTAGCAAGGCCAAATATGTGGATGTTCCTCAGGCCTAAGGGAACACCCTCAGGGGGCACAAATAGAGGGTCACACTCATTGATTATGTCCTCCCATTCAGCAGCATCAATAAAGTCGTGGAACAGGGCTTGATATCGGGCCAGGTGCTGCTGAAAGTGCTGTTTAAGATTCTCTCTCAGGGCATGCCAGAAGAGCTCTCGGCCTACGAGAGCCCGAGATACAGCATGCACCAGGCAGTGTCCATCTCCATCCACATGCACTGGAATGAGGCATTCCTGACTCTTATTAGCTCTCTTGATATCCTCAAGAGTGTCATGTAAATAGAGGAGGCTTCCGGAGCGGTCCTTTCCGTACCCCACCGTGTTAACATGCTCTGGTTCTATGAGAAAGGCCCGGTCACCCAGCAGGGCGCAATCAAACAGTTCGCCCTGGTTCATGTCCCGGAGAAGCTTGGCCCGGCCTGTCTGTTTGTCCATTCCATATCGAGCTAGTATGGGCGACAGCAATTTACAATGGTAGTTAGAAAGGCCCATCACCTTTACCAGTTCCGTGTTCTTCTTGGGTGCTCCCGTCACCCCCAGTAGCGCGTTCCGCAGCAGGTTGTGCAGCACGACGTCCGGGTCGGTCACCTCCTCCACCCCCAGCAGCTGCTGCTGCTCGTGCCGCTGTCCGCACTCCGTACACTCGATGCTGACCGAACCGGAGGCCGGGAAGAACAGGCGCGCCTGGCACTTCGGATCTGGGCAGCTCCCGGAAAGGATTCTCCGGTCTCTACGCTTCGAAAGCCCTCCCGGAGCAGCTGCCGCCGCCGCCGCCAAAGACGACGGAGTTTGCGGAGCCTCAGGAGGGGGAGGAGGAGGCGGCAGCGGAGGAGGCGGCGGCGGCGGCGGCTGAGACATAGCTCTCGGCTCTCGGGTCTCGCTCCGCGACCCTCAAAGGCTCATAGCCCAGAACCCCCACCGGCCAGACTCGGTCTACTCCAGGCCCAGGGCGAATCACTTTCCTACCAGCTCCTTCTCCTCCTCCTGAGCGAAGACGGAAGCACCGGACGTTGTTTCTCTTTTTACTTCTCCACTGCCGTAGCCGTTGCCCCGAACGTAACGGCCACCACCCCACCCCGCACTCACACTCACTCACTCTCGCTCTCCCTCAGACACAAGAGACATACACGCCCTCGCTGAGACTACGCAGGCGCAGCTTCCGCTCTGCCCTCTGGGAATTAAAGTCTTTCGGCCTCTCTAGTCCCTCAAGCGCTGGGCCCTTTCGTCCAGAATGAACTACAAATACCGCGATGCTAAGAGATTTGGCGTCCAAAGAGTGGAGGAAGAGGAAGGCAATAGGAAGGAGGGCAGAAAGGAAGATGGTGTCTCGGGTTGCCTATCGGTAATTGTAGTTTTAATTGACTCCTTTATGGTCTTTCCCACTCTAAGGAGCCAGGCGAAAGCGTCTGGGAGACCACATTTCCTAGGATGCCATGCGGTGCGTCGTCCAGTCGCACTTCCGCGTTGAGCAGCGGGAAGGATGCAGGGAAGCTCCGTATAAACAGAGTTAAGGGAGTGAGTGTTGGAGCCGAGGGTCTGAAGTTCACGACTACTAGAAGGGGAGGGGAGTGGAAATTCTCTCAGTGAAGAAGGTACGGTAAATAAATGTCCAAGGACACGATGGGCTGGGAAGTTGAATGAAATGGCCTAGTCCAGGCTGGAGATCTTAAAAAAGAGGAGAAAAGTAATGGACTGATTGTCAGGATATTTTAAAAGATCTTTTTCCACCTCTCTATTCTCATTTCTACTGCTATTCCAAGCTATCAAGGCGCTTGATGTTCCTTTTGTGCCTTTTCTTCCTCTCATGGAATCACCAAGACACCAGTTGGTTTCTCATTCCCTGTGCGTCTTACAATTTATAGTACAAATAACTAGAACTTGATGTGCGTAGTTTTATATACATAGACAAAAGTGTTAAACTGGAGATGCAAATTCGTTTACTTCTTACAATCCTGCCCACAGAGAATTTGTAAGATTGTCACTCATAAATGGTATTAGTGCTGATTTGCTCCTAATGTCTATTTCTTCAAAAGAAATTATGTATTTGAAAGAGAAATCCTTCACGTGTTATTTTCTCTCCTGTTTTCCCTGGCCCATACAAAAATGTTATATCTATAATGCACCTTCATTACAAGACAGGTAAGGTAACTTACCTTGAAGGGATATTTTTCAATAAAGTTTTTTTTCAAAAGACTAATTCAAGCAGGAAGCGTTATTTTATTTTGACATTTTACTCATAACCACAAAGAATTTATTTATTTATTTATTTATTTACTGTACTAGGAACTGAACTCAGGGCCTCTCCAATGCTAGGTGAGCACTAGCCATGAGCTACGTCCCTAGCTCTTTTTACTTTGAGACAGCATTTCTCTAAGTTGTGAACTTGGGATCCTCCTCCCTTAACCTCCCCAGATGCTGGGATTACAGGTATATGCCCAGCCTGGAATTGATTTTTAATTGAATTCTTATAACTTGATAAATTGGATATGCCCTTTAGGTAGGAGTTGTTTTTTTCTGTGACTTAGCAGTTACATGTGCAGTGGCACTATATTTTCTCCTACAGAATACAAAGAATTGAATTACCAAAGCTTTGAGCACAAAAATGATATCAATCTGCACTAACACTATCATGCACTTTTATCTGTCATCAAAAGCTACATTTTCTTTGATGATACATGTGAATAGTGAAGTAGACTTTTAAAATTGCATCTGAATATATCACTTGAATTGTACTTTGGTAAAATAATCATTTCCTACCTCACTGAGGAAGTGGGAAGCCTTTCTCTGTCTTATCAAATAGAATCCACTTGATTAATTCAGTGTTCATTTCCTCACATGGAACCTTGATTAGTTAGAAACATTTTTTCACAAACTAAATTTGACTATTTATATATTAATTTCGTGCTGCTGGGGATCGAACCCAGAGCCTCACACATGCTAGGCAAGTGCTTTACCAGTGGGCTCCATTCCCAACCCTAAATTTGACAAATTCATTATTACTATGTTTCTCACAATTTAAGGATTATACTTTTGAAAGAAAAAAAAATAACTGTAGCACAGCTAGTATGAGGAGAAAGAAGAGTTAAGTTTCGAGGCAATTGTTAAATTAACCTGAAAGTAAGTCATTTATTTAATAAGGAGATGTAGGCAAAATTCAGAAAGTACAAAAACTATCATGAATAAATGATATTAACCATGCCCAGTTCAATATGAGAATTAATTGTTCACTGGTGCTTAAAAGGCATGGGTACCTACAATGTTAAAAATAAAAGAAAATTTTGTCAGGGGAAAGTATGACATACTGTTTCTTATTTGACCATAGGAGTTGTAGTAAGCTCCTAACTTGCTTATATGAGATCCCCGTGCTTCCTTCTTCTTCCCTCCAAATTCCATGATCTTCATTGCCTAATTAAGATTAACTTAATTGCCTTATTAACTTTCACAGGATCTTTGTGGGGTAGATAGCAGTTTTTCTGTCCATATTTCAAATTGGAAAAATGAGATGAGCACCTAGCATTAGCTGCTGTGAAACACACCATCCTTCCACCATCACCACAGACAGCATCATTAGTATTTGAATTGTTAAAACTCAGTTACAACCAAAATCAATTTTTTTCATAACTTCTGTTTGGCACTTCTAAACTTCCTGTATTGCTTTTAACAAATGTAGTAAATGTAAAAGCAAAAGTCATCCACTTTTAGTAACAGAATTACCACCATTTTTCTTGTTCTTTTGTATGTTATATATATAAGGAAGGGAATCAAAATTTCTGGGATTGTTATAGGCAGCCACATGCACACCTCTATGAAATGTACATCTATACTAAGAGTTGACTTTGTTGTTCCAGATCCCTACTGCAGATAGACTTCCAGTCATAAGAAACTTTGGTTGAAACGTGAGTGGGCTCAGTAGGGACTAATGACTGAAGTCGGTATAGTATTATAGGTACTTAAAGGATGCAGATGGTCATCTCTGCCCCAGTAAAGATGAGTTTAAACAGAAGAGATAAGATAACTATTCATAAATACAAGTGAATAAAGCATATAATCAAAATGGTGCAGGAAACAAACATCACAAATGTTATGAAAATTTATTGAGGGTTTAGTATAGGACAGATTTTTTGAGTATATTAATCTTTCAAACACTTCTTTTAAGTAGGTAGCATTGTCTTTATAGATAAGACAATTCTAAAGGATTAATATTGTCATCGTCTTTGTTGAAGCTGGGCTTCAAATTAGGATTTTCTTTGTTCAGCAGTTTACTGATTTGAAAATTAGACAGGAAGCAAGTGATCTGACAGCTAATGTCCAGTCTTGGCATGGATGTGTTTTTGTTGGACCACTGGGATTTAACTTTTTATTTTTAAATGTAAACACTTTGGGCAGTGTCCAGGACTTCACTTTTTAAGATTTATGTTAGGTCTCCTTGAGACAGGTTACCTGTGAGCCCACTCTCAAAAAATTTTTTTTAAAAAAGCACATCCCCTTCCTTCTTTCCTTCCTTCCTTCCTTCCATCCTTCTGTCCTTTCCTTCTTTCCTTTTTTGTGGTGATGAAAATCAAGCCCAGTGTCTTCCACATGTTAGGCAAGCACTGTCCCACTGAGATACGTCCTCTGCCCCATGTGCCTTTCCCATACCAGGTAGTAACTGGGCACAGGAGGAGCTATTCTCAAAAGGCTCCTGTGGTATGTACCTTAGTCCTAGCAACTGGGGAGGCTGATGAATTCAACATAGCCAGACTCCATCTGGGAGCAGGCAGGATGGAATTCCATGAAAAGACTCTTAGAGCAGGTATTCAAAAAGTAAAAGGAAGACTTTATGAACAAGAGTTGCAAAGAGTATTCAGGAAAAAAGAAAGATTTGCAGTATTTTTGTTTTGGTGCTGAGGACTGAACCCAGAGTGTCATGCATGTTAGGCAAGTGCTGTACCGATGAGCTTTGTCCAGCTTAATATTTATGATTGTACAGTATAAAGGTGACATGGATCAAGTTCAGACCTACAAGTTATACCTTCACACAGTAGTTCTCAAGCTTTAGCAAGCATCAGAATCAAATCAAAAGTTTTCAAAACCATATTTTGCTGGGCTCCGCTTCAGAATGAGTATGTCTAGGGAGAGCCTGGGAATTTAGATTTCTAGCAAGTTTGTTCTACTGGCCTAATCACACTTTGAGACTTACTTGACTGTAGGGTACTTTTAGGGAAAATCTTGTTCCTATGTTTTTGTGCTTGTCACAGAATGTTTACCCTTTGCTTTTTTTTTTTGGTACCGGGATCGAACTCGGGACCTTGCGCTTGCGAGGCAGGTGGCAGAACCACTGAGCTAAATCCCCGGCCCTCTCACAGAATGTTTAGAAAAATAATTTAAAAAGAAAATTAAAATAGCTAGAAATTACGAATGCTAACATTTTTGGTGGATTATTCAAGCCTTTTTCTCTATTCCTATGTACTATGTACTTAAAAAAATTGTATCATAATAATAGCTATTGACACCTATTTAACATCTACTGTGTGCCCTGTATTTACTTAAACTTATACTTTCTTTATGAGACAGGTACTTTTACAATCATTACTATCTTGCAGATGAAGAAACAGGCACAGAGAAGTCAAGTAACTTGCTCAGTGTCTCATAGCTAGTAAGTGGCATAATTAGGATCCTTTGTATTTAATAATAGAGGAAGAATTTCTATGTAATGAATATATAGATAATTACCACAGCTATTATCATGCCATCCTAGGGTCTGAGAGTGTAGCTCAGTGGTAGAGCACTGGCCTTGGATGCACGAGGCCCTGGGTTTGACTCCTAGAGCCACAAAAAAAAGGAATATATGTCCTATGTTAGTGGGTACACCTCCCTTCTTCAACACCTTGGTCTAAGCATGAACAAAACTTCTCTTAGCCATGATGGTACATGCCTATAATATCAGCTCTCTGGGAGGCTGAG